ATCGTATTTGAAAACATCCGTTTTCGTCCCTCTACGGGTTTATACAGGTCCGGACAAATATTTGAATACTTGAGTAATTGTTCGGGCCCCATGTAAACGAAAGGCGGATCCGTGCAAGTTTTTGTCCGTTCAAAGATTTGTCCGGATCCTTGTAAACGGGGTCTAAGTATCAACATAACCCTCCCAAAATCCACGAGTCGTGCAGTTAAAAGGCTTCATTCCTACTTCTTCGAAATCGCACAACTTCGCCGGCAAGCCAACTTGGATTTTAATTGCTTCTGAACTAAATGAAAACCATCGAAGTTCTAAAAAAAAATTGCATAAAATATTCTTATAAGATTTTGTAGGGGAAACCAGCAGCGGCAACTTCAAAGTTGGAAAAGAGAATGGGCGTTTAACTGAACAAAAAAAAGGCGAGTGGTTTAAAGTGAGGTAAACACAAACTGCGGGTATATTGAGTAACTTCTAATAAATAAAAAAATGAGGTGCAATTGGGTTTTATGGACCTTTATTGGACTTCCTTTTTCTGTGCTTGAACTGGTTTTACCAGTCCGTTCTATTTCCTCCAAATTCTGACAATTTTCCGTGTACCGCCAACAGCCGGGGGCGATTACTCGAGAGAGGCGACTATTTCAAATACTGGTCACTGGAAGTCGTGCCTTGAAAATGTTCTTTTTTTTAATCCCATTAAATAAAAAAATGCGGTATTAGGAAAGGAAATGGCATTCAGGATAGAGATCACGGACGTTCGAGATGCGGGATGAGGAACGGGACGGCGGGATCAGGACCCCCTAACAGACCCTGAGTCTAGGAAATGGTGTTTTAAGTTGCCTTTTCTTTTGCGCTTAAAATTCGAATGCGCAACTTGTCAACAAATATACACGGGGTTGTGACGTCATAGTCTCTTAATGACCATGGCGGACGCTCCTCCGCCACCATTGCAGATGCTTGCTAGACCCAGGCTTCCCTCAGGCAGGTTGTGTGTCATGTGGGCAATTAACCGCGAACCAGACATCCTGAAAATAAAACAGGCGGTCAGTTTATTACCTCTGGGGGACGAAGCCGTCTCTCTGCATTGCTCCTCGCCGCTAGAATCAGAGAAGAAACTCCACCATGTGTTCACTCGAGCGGCAAGTGAATTTCTCAGTCAGCGTTACCTTAGAAAAAAAAAATTCGTGCAAGCTGAAACTTCCCCACCCCCCATCACTTTTCTAATGGTCCGTCCTTAACGGTTTTCTGTTTTTTCGGAGAGTCGAAAGACATAATATAGAGATCACATAAAGGGAGAGCATATAGCATGACCAAAGACACAGGTAAGACAAATTCCGCCCGTTACATTTCCCCCTTGATTTTCTACTAAAAACAAAATCTCCGTGTCAACAATGTCGATTGTTGCCCCAGGGGAATACTCCGGATTTCAAGTGATGGGGATGATCGAATGGGGGCAAGAGTCAAAATCCCCAAAAAATTCCCTGGGGCTTCCAACAAAACCCTAGAAATTCTCTTGACCAAAAATTTGCGCCCCCCAAAAAACTCACCCGATAGGATGTCCAACTGACACAGCACCGCCGTGTATATTGACCTTGCCAGGATCTAACTCCATGAGCTGTAAGCACAGAAGAGAGAGTTTTAATTTCAACTTAAGGGTTTGAGTTAGGGAACCGGCATCCTGGGAGACTTGAAACAAAAACCGTGAAAGAAAAACTCAAGGAAACCAGCGAATTGAGAAGTTTTAAGCTTTCGTTTTCCCAAGAAAATTCAACGAATGGAATTTCCTCTCAAAGAATTCGAAACAGCAACTTAAATTAATCATTTGAAATCTAAATAAGCCAATTATTTCTAATGGGTTTTTACTACTACAGACAGATACAAAAGAAAATGAGCTATTCTCTCTTGCAAATATTATATTGCTAAGATTTGTTTTAATAGTTTATGTCACATCTATTTTAGGATTCTTACCGACTTACCAAAAATAAGAGGTAAATGTACGAATACAGCGGCTTTCATAACTCCATCCGTGTTCCCGAAATAGTCTGTGTTGCCGGTGAGATCGTTAGGCAGCGCGGGCAAAATTTTGGCAGAGGAGCTGCGAAGCCGTGCGGAGAATGTCAAGGAGACGCTTTGAATTTTCTCGCCCGCTTCGGTGCTTGCTTTTCGCGGCAAAGTCACGAGAATGGCGGCACTCTAACACGCACAAAAGCAATTCCGCCGGCTAGCAGGTTTTTCCCGAAACTTTCGGCACTTTTTACGGCTACCGACAAATATACAGCGAGACGCGCCGGATAAAATTGGTCTGATAAATGAATAGTTGCGGGAAAACCTAGCTTTTTTCCAATGGGATAAAGTTTTTTATCTCGGAGAAAATAAACCTGCGCCTGCGCCTGCGCCTGCGACCGCTCCTTTCTGAGGTAAATTTACCGCAAAACATAGCATTAAAAAGTTCAAAGGAGGACTCAAAAGGAGGCTCAAATCGGAACGTGTCGTGTAACATCGCCTTTAGAAGCATCCATAATTGACTGTGCTTGTGTTATGCAAACCAAGTGTTAACCCATACATAGAACACATCAAACCTTGATGTTGGCTAGAACAACAGCACTGAAAGCTTCGTTTATTTCCCACATGTGAATATCTTCTTTCTTCAACCCAGTCTGTTGTAATAACTAAAAGACAGCAAAAGCAAAAACGATTAAAATGGGGTCACTCAGATTACAACAGGATTTTTTTATGACGAATTTAAAAAAGAACATGCCCTCCACACTTGTAGCCACCGACGGGGGAGAGGTTGCTCGCATACTACTTACAGCCGCACTACCGACTGAGCTAATCCTGCAGCTGGATTACCTCAGTCGGCAGTGCGCGGGACTGCAGAGCGGGAGGTCGCGGGTTCGATTCTCGGGGCCGGACCAATACTCAGTGTCTTAAAATAAGTGAGTAATGAAGGTACTACCTTTGCACTGAATTGGTCAAGAACTTTCAGAACTTTCCGAGTTGGCAGATTATCAATGAGAAATTTGGAAGGAGATTGGGTCTTGTATCGGTATATAGTGCGGCGATTACGTGTTTGTTTATAGGTGAAAGTGCATTTACCTTAGCAGTTAGTCTACAGGCACTCCACTCAAAGAATTAGAAACAAATATTCCAAATAGAACATAACAGGATTAAAGCCCTAACTGACAGGAGGTAACCGGTTGACTATTCACAAGCGTGGCCAAGGGTTTGAGCTCAGGATTACCGTGAGAACAAGTCTAGAAGTGGCCAGAGTGGGACTCGAATCAAGGACGGGTGGATTGCAAGTCCAACCTGCTGACCACTCGGCCACCCTGATAAGCACTCAAAAAAAATGATTAAAGTAGAGTACCTTTGGCACAGCGGCTGCTGGAGCGATGGGAAAATCAATCGGTGCTACAGAAGCATCAGCAAAACCTGAAGAAGATAAACTCAAGCTGATGAGTGAGTGCAGAATTCGAATGGGTGAGCTATCTGCAACTTTGAAAACTTCAAACAAGCATTGAAACATTTCAAATTCAAAAAGCTCTTGTCCACATCTGTGGACTACAGCTGTACATGTAGTTTAATTTGTGTTACTTTTGAGTTTTTCTGTGAGTAACTGAATAAAATTAATGATAACAACAATCATTATGTTGTACTGAATACTGGTAATCACAATTATTTTCCACTTATAACTACTTTTGTATTTACCTATTATGGAGGCTAGTGGCTTCACTCCTAACCTGTCAGCAGCTTGTCTAGTCATAAGCACTAGGGCAGCGGCACCATCGTTCAGTGTACTGGCATTGGCAGCAGTGACGGTTCCTGAAGAATATTAACATGTCACATGTCACAAAACCAATTATTAACAAGCTTAGTTACCAAAGCAGTTACATGTATGCTTGCAGCCTGTCTTGTTACACCAGAGCTACAGCCCCATCAGTCAGGGAACTGACATTGGCGGCAGTGACAGTTCCTGAAGAATATTAAGACGTCACGTATCACACAACCAACCACGTCATTCAGTCTACTGCCATGGTATACCTGCCCACTTTTTCAGAGACAAATGCACAAGATCCTCGCCTTCTCATGACCAGGATTTCCGAAAACATCCCAGCGACTTCCGAAGCTTTCTGATGGTTTTCCGAAGACTTCTGAACACTGCCAAAAATGTCCAAAGATGTCCTGACAACGGCAACGATTTTTCGCTATTTATCATGCGGTTAAGAACAATTTGTGTGGATTTGTGAGTCAGGTGTGAGAAATTGTCCTTGATGCGTGAGATCAAGGTGTTTAGTCCGCAGGCGTGAGACTCACACATAATACATGAGTGTGGGCAGGTGCAGCATGGGCTGCAGTCACAGATCCTAACATTACGTCACGAAACCAATACAGTTAGCCTTAGTATTTCCCAAAATTATTGAAGAAACTGAAACTTTAATGTTTGAAAAGGTCTGTATACAGAAACAGCATACTTTTAAGGCATTTCTGTATGGACATCTCTTCATTATAATTATGTAGCATTCCCCCTATCAGATGACTCGTGGAGATCTATAGCCAACTGTACACAAGGAATGCACTATAATTGAATTAACATTATTATGAAACCTTAAAATACAGATTCAGTTTCTCCTTTTTGACTACAATTTGATAAAATTATCTGGGAAATTGTTTTTGAACAAAAGAAAAACAAACTTGCATTAAACTTTAACCCCAGGTTAGCGCTAATCAGTCTTCAAACAACTGGGCCCAATTTTATAATTCTTAATCTAGAACCAATCTATCTCCTGAATAAACAGGAAAGTACAGACAAGAAAGGAAAAGTCAATACACCCCCTCGTAGTATTAACTATCATTTTTCCTGAAAAACTGAGGAAAATGTAATTTGATTGCCTCACTTTTAAGTGAGATCACAATCTTATTCTGTAGCCTGTAAATACAGTTGCCTCTAATTGTTCCTTGTAACTGGGGAAAATTCACGAGAGGAAAAGGGGCAATGAGAAGTGCTTGTATTTGTTGGCTACGCAAACTGCATTGTGAATGGCAACATGAGGACTTAGTGAGTAATACCTTCTAACCTAAATTTTTGTGGTGCTATGAGAATTCTTTTGTATTTCAGCAAATTTATATACTGATTCAAGAGTTAAGAAATTAAATTAAACAAAGTAACACTGTGCAGGCTAAAGTCTTTTGATAATATGGACTGGATCATACCATTTTCTTTCTGAAAGACAGGTTTCAGCTTTGCAAATTTATCAAATGAGACTTTCTTGTATTCTTCATCTTCACTGAAAATCACATCAGGCTGACCTTAGAGAGGATTAGTTAGTGTTAGTGTCTTTATAACCTGAGATCAGGCCCAATTTGAACGGTTCTCATACATTCTCTCTAACGGCTGCCGCTGAAATTGGGCTCTCTTTTCGTTTCTCCATGCCCGCCGGAATGTTATTTACAAAGCGAAACGAAAATACAGCCTGATCTCAGGTTAGTGTCTTTATCACAGTTATTCTTCAGATGTTGCCTACGGTAGTGAAACTGTTGATCTTTGCTTTTGCAAGAGAGTCTAGTCCCTCCTTTTCCTCTCCTCTCGGTGGACAAGGGAAAACTCAAACAGAAATAAATTGTTATTCGCAAAGGTTCTGCCAAAGGGTTCTTTGAAAATCCGTCAGTCATCTCTGCACAAGAAATGCAATGATTCTGCTTGATACAGTAGCTGGATTTAAAATATAAACTTGCAAGCAAAGTGTCAGAATGAAGTAGGGTGGAAGACGCAAAGTTAATCTGATTGAAATAGGACTTTTTATGAGTCTTGGATGGATAGACAACTTTTAATTTATCAGTTATAGTATATCCCATAAAATTAAATACATGTACATGACGTATAACATTTCCATGATAAGGAGCAGTCCCAAACTGGCTTAATCTGCTTCTCTTATGTATTCATATGCTAATCAAAACCATTTTGTATCAAATCAGTCTGTTGTTTATAACCTTTACCTAACAGCCATAATACACTAACTGCTACTAATTTCATGTAGCTAACCTGCACCATCACCGGATAAAGACCAACAGTAAGCAGTTGTAAAATCAAGAATAAAGAATGGCCCTTGCAGTTGTGAATGCAATTTATGCAATTGTGTAAGTGAGAAGCCTCAAAAAAATTCAGGACTTCAACTGTATTTGAACAGTCCATAAGCAGTTGATTGCCCCAAGTAAGGTAATCCGGGTTCTGGAATGCAGGAAAAAAATTTTTTCTTGTGGAATCTGGAACCCGGGAAAACTTTTCTTGTGGAATCCGGAACCCTAGGCTTTGGAATCCTGAATACGGCTCAAGAAATCTGGGATCCTGCTAATTATTGGAATTGAGAATCCAAGTTCCACTGACAAGGGATACAGAATCCAGTACAGTCCCAGAACCGGAAATCCAGAATCCAAATAGACTGTCTTGGGTTATCTTACAGGGGGCAAGTCCCAAGAGTGACCAACATCAATTTTCTCCTAAAAACACTTATTGATCATTTCAAGAAAAAGTTATGAGAAATTTTCAAATGATCAACGCAGAAAAATGCCTTGATCTTTCACCAGATTCTCTCAACTAATCATTGAGGAAATGTCTGGAGATCGGCCCGAAGAATTTGTATGTTGATATAATTGGGGCTTAAAGAGGTTAATATTGTGATTGATCAGGGTCACAGAGCTACTATTATATTGTTATTGCAACCCATAATGTCCTTGAGAAAAAATATCTATACAAACCTTTTCTCTGAGGGACTGAAACAGAAATAACTTCATCGCTGAACTTGCCTTCCTTAAAGAGTGAGATAAAACAACTTATTACTTCGTGAGTTAAGGAGACACATCAAGGATAAAAATTTTTGGATCCATTAGAAACGCAACCAAAAGGCTCCAGATTTATTATTCATATATTCACACTTGGTAAGTCTAGAATTAGAAAACTATCCTGAAAAACTTGAGTCAGCTAAACTCCTCTTGTTCAGTCACTCTTAGATGTACATGTCACCAATACTCTTGATTGTACTGTTCAGTTATCTCTTTTCTCACACTGAACTCAATAATCTATTACTTTTTTTATGAGGAGCAAGTCATGATCTATTATTTTAACTTTTTACGGCAACATAAGGTGCACTGTACTTCCTCAAATAAGCAACCGGGTACTTGGCTAAAATTTTGGCTATAAGGAGGGTTACTTGTTGGAAGGAAAGTGGTAAATTGAGGGAGACACTTAGTTAAGTTTTGCTCCTCTTGGTGATCAAGCACACCATAGTCTCACTATACAGTTTACTCACAGATGTGTCAGTATACATGTAAATGTCGAAGTTGAAGCTTAAAAAATTATGAATAAAGGGGCAATACAGAAACAGGCTTTCCTTGTACATACCTACAACTTAATAAACTGATGGGAAGAGGGCACTTATTCGATAAATTAGCCCCAGGAGGCAGGTGCTTAATTGGGGTAGGGCACTTATTAGAGTGTGGGCGCTCACAATACATCGAAATAGAAAATGGGCTTGAAACAGCTCACCTGCCATGCTCCTGCTGTCTTTTTATAAGAACTAATGGCAAATTCATCTTGTTCTTCGCGGCTAATTTCAAGCTTTGCTGCTGTGTTTTCTGCACAGTTACCCTGAATACAAACCATATCCATGAGATAAAAATTGTAAAACATAACATTTATAAACACGTACATAATTGAGAGATCAAAATTAATTTTTCAATGATTCACTGTACAACTTAAGTTATAAAATATCAAAGACTATGGTACAAAGCCAGCTGATAACATAAAGTATTATCACAAAAACAAAAGTAGTAATATCATCACAGTCAACACTTGCCTTGCAGATACAGCTGTACCTTGTTATTGAAATGTATGTGACAGAATTTCTGTCCTGATAAGGATAGCAAAATCCTTTTAGTTACTGATTTTTCTTTCCCATGTTTTGACGAACAAAAAGAAAAATTGATAATTCTTCCTGTTGGCTACAAAACCATGTAAATTTAAGACACTGGAATGATTGAGACTTCATTTTAGGACATTCTGTTTCGTGGCAAGCAAATTTTCCAGTCGTTTGTTGCTTGCAGTGAAACAGAATATGTCCTGAGAGGATGTCACAGTCTATTCCCAGTCTCATGTTTTCAGTTGCTCAGTTTTTTGCTCCACTGGAAGTGAAATTTCATATTTTTGGTTCATCAGAACACAGGAAAAAATCAACGTCAAAAATTTTCTTGCCATCCTTACAGTCTGTATCACAACAGACTGTAAGTTCTATCAAGCCAATGAAAAAATTCTGTCATATCAACTTCGAGGACAACCCCAAAAGATGGGCTACAGCCAAATCCCCATCAAAAAATATGCACACACTTAATTTAAATGTAATACTGCAATTTCAGATTTTCTCTCAATCGAAGACACTAAACTGTCTGCAAAAAAGGAGTTGACTGTGTTCTAATGCAGACATGACAATCCATAACTTACCATATGAATTTGGTTATAAACATCCCACAATCCATCTTTCACAATTCCATCCTGCAGAGGGATAACAATTATTTTTTTTTGTACTTTAATGCCTCTCCTTTAAAGGATGAAATGCTTACGACTGTAACATCAGCTTCAGATTTGTAACTTGAAAATCAAGTTGCATGTTAAAGGAGAAACAAAAAAGTAAAACGTTCCATTTGTCTTCATGAGGAGCTCACTTTTCACAAAAATTACGATTCTTGATATATAATACATATATATGATATGAAGATACATTACATAACAGGAACAATCAAGGTGTTTGTATTTTGACCTTGTCCCTTGGGAGTGGTTAATTACTGTTTGTACTGTGACCCGTATAAGTAACCTGTTAAAATACCGTAAACTTTCGAAAATAATCCCCTCCATGTATAAGCCCCTCTAAATATAAGCTCCCCAAACCAGTAACACAAAAAACCCTCCGTTAAATCGCCCCTCCAAATATAAGTCCCCGGGGGCTTGTTCTTGGAAAATTACCCTCAAATTAATACAAAGTAAAAAAAAGTTAAAACGGTAAATTTACTTCCAACAATAAGGCTAACCCAGTCGATTTTGAAACACAATTATTTTATATCCCTCCGTAGATAAGCCCCTCCGAATATAAGCCCCTCAAAAAGAGCCTTTGAAAAATACAAGCCCCGGGGCTTATTTTCGGAATTTTACGGTACTATGCCAATCTGCAGTACAATACAGCATCTACTGATAATTTTCATTGATCACTCTGTACCTACTTCCATTTTGTGGCCACCATATGCTGGTGCATCTCTGCTAACCATAAAAGGTACATTTGACATACTTTCCATGCCGCCTGCAACCATCACTTCCTGGCAAATAAAGATAAAGTATTATTTCCAACAAACTGAGATTCATTCTCGGATTTATATTGTACTACACTTATCATGAAAATCATGTACAATTTAACATTAATTTTAACACAAAAATTTTGCTTGTAGTGCGTTCTTTGGTGGCTTCAACATACCCTATAAATCTATCAAGATTATACCTGTACAAACTTTTGCAAGTAAATCATAGCATAACAAAATAATCCATGTTCTTGTGTTTTGCTTAATGAGGTATATTTCAGGCCCCAGTTGTTCAAAAGTTGGATAGCGGTGTTCACCGGGTAAATCACTATCCACCGCATAAGTATTAGGGAAACCAATTGCGCTATCCAGTGGATAATGATTTATCCGATGGATAGTGCTATCCACCTTTTGAACAACTGGGGTCAGGAAAATATTTATGATGGTACTAATTTGTTTCAGATTCCTCAAAGCATATCCAGGAAAAATTACACACATATGCACGGATGCCAATTTCACATGAGCCTAAACATAATATAAAGTGAAAATTGCTCATTTTGTTTGGTGCAATATACTGTAAAACAATACGAATATCATGCACACTATGACAAATTAAGGTAATATACTGCACCAAGAGCAAAACAGTAAGTAAGGTTATATGTAAGGCAATAAACAAGAGGAAAGCTCTTAAAAGGAACAAGCTTTCAATGATGTTATGTTTTGTTTGCCTTTTTCTTTTGCATTCTTAATTTCAGATGACAAAATAACAGACAAGTCACCAGAACTCAACAAATGCAAGTTACAGCATACAATATGATAATGTACATGTGTTACATGTACATAGTCAAGTCAAAGTGTAAACAACAACAACAAGTGTGAGTGTGTGCTACCATAGGCAGGTCCTTCCTTATAGTTCCTGATTTAAGGTACGTCTCTTGACCGCTAACTAAGGGCACCTGTCCTACACTCTATCCAGCATTCCGGCTGATGGATGTCTTCCAAGTAGCCTCTTTCCTGTTATTCTCCCCTCAATAACTAATGGGACTAGATCATCATGCCGTAAGGTATGATCAAGCCAGCCACAACAATGCAATTAAGTTAATTAACAGACCTGACTTCCACAAGCAAGACTTTGAGCAGCCATCATGATGGACTTCATCCCAGATGCACAGACTTTGTTGATTGTTGTACAAGGTGTCGATACAGGTAAACCTAGTTATGACAAAGAAAAATTAATAGATGCAGGATTAAAATATTTTCAATTCTGGAAAATATGCATTGCTCTCTCAGGTCTCGCAGCAATACTGGCTTTATACTGTACACCTGCATCAGTTAGAATGATTGAATCTACAGACTTAACTGAATATGCACTGGTCAATGTTCACTGATCTTCAATAACACAAATATACCGTAAAATTCTGAAAATAGGCCCTGGGGCTTATATTTTTCAAAGGCCCTTTTTGAGGGGCTTATATTCTGAGGGGTTTATCTACAAAGGGAAATTTGCGTTTCAAACTAGATAAGGCTAGCCTTTCAGTTGGAAGTAAATTTACCATTTTTTTCTTTGTTTTACGTTGTATTTGAGGGCAATTTTCCAAGTACAAGCCCCCAGGGTGCTTATATTTGGAGGGGCGATTTAACAGAGGGTTTTTTGCGTTACCGGTTTGGGGGGCTTATATTTGGAGGGGCTTATTTTCGGTAATACACTGGAGAAAGACTACACTATACAGTGTATGAAGGGTAAACTGTCCTAAAAATGGTACTAGGCCTATTGGTATGATTTACAATCATAATAACCTGTATAGCCTGAATTAGAGATTTGTATTTGTAAATTGAAAAATTAATACCGGTACAGTATAAATTTCTAACTCACTAAAACATTAGTTATTTTCCAACTCATCAGTACCTGCACCAAGTGCCACCTGTCTCGTCGGAGCTTGTCCTTCCCCAGCAGTAATGACATTTCCCATATATACTTCCTGTACATCCTCTGGGGTAATACCTGGATTATTACATATGGCAACTCAGCATAATTATCAATTTCAATAGGTCATAATATTAAGAAACTCAGAGAGCCATGTATATATGTACCAGAAATATTTCTGGAATGTTATTTTGCTGTAAGGAAAAAGCCATTCAGTTATCAGATGGAAACCAGAAGAAAACATTTGGTCACCATATTGAACTGTCTGCTTGATGGGTTTTTGACTTTGAGGTATCATAAATACGGTATTTTAGTGATATAAATGTAAGAAGAAAATGCTAGTACACTGGAGGGGCTCTTAACTGCTTTGTTATCTGAAGGACTCATGATAAAATCTCTGTCAGAATTTACAATTATTATTACTCCCTTTTTTACAGAAATCTTTACATCACCCTCAAAACTTATGGTTATTTATTAGTTTTTTCATCACGACAAAGTAGAGACACAGCATGGTGCTGATGACTGTCCATGGGACAAAAAAAGTTGAAAGAAAGCTTGTTCTGGGCAAATTAACCACAAATTCGTAGTACGCAACACATGCAGCTGACAATACCTGCTTTTTCAATTGCAGCCTTAACAGCGATTGCTCCAAGCCTAGGTGCAGTTACTTTGCATAGCGAACTTCTAAATGATCCTATTGGTGTTCGCACAGCACTAACAATTACTACTTCCTACAAATCAAATCAAAAAAATGAAAAATACTGTTTCAGTTTTTTAATAACAATGTTTGAGGAAACCTAAACTTGTTGATTGAGCAATTCACAGATTCTTTAAGAATTTCAACTTGAATTGGTCATCCTTTAATAACACAAGCGTGATTAAAATATTGTATTTCTCTGGTCAGTTTATTTAGAGTGGGCTAACAATTTTCAAATACATGTACACCCCCTTCACACCCACTTTTTTGGACAAATAGGACGACAGCATATATAAATCTCTTCTTTCACTTAAAAGAAATAACTCTTAAGTTTGGACACTACAGCTACTTTTCCCCACAAAACAAAAATGAAATGACCAAACTACCAATACAGATTAATTTTTACTTGTCATAATGATGGCGCAAAAAAACTTATGACATCATCAGCCTAGTCTTATGCAAGTACATTAATGGAACCTTTTAATCTCTTGTAATGTCACTGATTTACCGTGGATATATAAAACCTGAAGAAGTCTGAATGAAATGATTTAAAATCCAGCGAATATTTGTTCGCGGAGGGCAGCTCGAATAAGCCAAAACGATTCTAAAATCAACGTAAATATTAGGTTAAGGGTACCCACGTGTAATCCGGAGAAATTAGACAATGATTTTCTGGTCAAATTCCAACCCTAAAAGAACAATTGAACACAACACAAGCGAATCAATTGGGCTTTAAGTGCAGAAAACTCAGCTAAATGATATGAATTTCAAAAACGATACCACTGATCGTGCGACAGTCCAACTTGAAATTCTCGCGCCGATCAAGGAGGTCGCCATTATTCCGACGAGCCACTCGGCACTCACTAGTGCGTCATGTAACACGTCACCACTTATCAATTCGGAAACAAGCGGCTTCAAATTATGTGCGTTTACATGGCGTCGCTTACATGGAGGGCCTTGAAACGCTTATACGCGCTCTCTGGCTTGCGGGTTAGCAAAGTGACTGCGACCACCTCAAGTATGCCACCAAAGGCGGTTTCTGAAGTTATCTTTCACCTGAGAGACATCAACCAAGCAATGACAAATGCTTGGGAAAAAGAATTTGCGCCGTACTCTAATACTGTTAAGGTATACTAAAGTTCACATTCTTTTAAAAAAAATGCCATACCGTATTTATTCGATTAACCGCCCTGGGCGCTTATTGAAGTTTTGGACCTTGAGAGTGGGCGCTTATTCGAGGCTGGGCGCTTATTAAATTTTCACCATTTTTAACAACAAAATGCGAAGATGTAACAAAGCAAGGTTTCTGCAAAACATTCTGAAGAAAACTCCATCTTCAGGAAGTCTCTTATTAGTAATTATTCTTTTTGGGGGGGTGGGAAACGGGTTGAGCGCTTATTTGAGTTTGAGTGGGAGTGGGATGGAGGTGGGGTGGGGTGGGGGTGGGTGCTTATTCGAGGCTGGGCGCCTATTAACTTTATCTGCCTTTAGGATGGGCGCTCATTCGAGGTGGGCGCTAATTCGAGGTTGGGCGCTTATTCGAATAAATACGGTATTCTAAAAGGTGATTATTCATTCAGATATTTCATTTCTTTGTTTCTAATTGGCTTAAAATTCTGATCTTATATAACCAGCTTGCGTTGACCAAATTTGGAAAACGTTTGCGATATTAGCTGGTAAAATGACATCAATGGTACAGGCTATTGCCAGAAAAATGGAGTTCAACTGAGAAGCCTTGGGGAGAAGGCTGAGGGCAGGTGATTTTACAGGTCACATTCCACAGGTCAGAATACAGTTCACCGTGCTACAGATGATTAAACAAGAGCAGAAGTGCCTCCTAGCCCTAATCCTTATCCAAATGTTGTTTTTGTAAGGTCGAGTGATAGCTTGGTTGTTTTGGTGGAGTAGGATCGGAGAAAAGGCAGAAAAGTTTGCACATTTTGCAAAAAAAAATAGCGGAACTTCTGCATAATGCATCCGTCAAATCCATTGTTTTCCTTGGATGGTAAATTTCTGGGGGCTGGGACACTTGAGCTGCCAAATGCCACGTGATGGGGATGAGAAACGAGGGAAAATGCCCTGCCCTCAATCCTCACTGCAGTGGTTTTCATTGATCGCACAGTCTAATAATGCCACGTTAAGCATTTTTAATGTGAAATTTTTTTATAAATAGTTCGTAGGCAAAAAAAGTGCCATAAAATTAAAATCAGTGCATAAAGCTATCTGTTCTAAATAGTTTAATAATATGAAAGGAGGGATCATACATGATCATGACGTATTAAAATTATCACCCCTAAATTTTATTCAAATAAAAAAAAAACATGGATTCACATTCGTCGATAGCTCCCAATTTCACAGTGTAAGTTCTGTCTTGATAAACAATGAAGCAAGTATGTATAAAATCAAGAAAACAAGCAAACATGCAAAACAGGCTTCAGGTACAAGTACTCAATTTTATTTTATATTTCTCTCAATTTTCTGGACATCAGTTTCAGTTAAGTACATGGATACTCAATTTGTAAGTATTATTACTAGAATTGGGTTAAAATATCACATCAGTTGTGAAAATAAATTGATTTGAGGACTGACATTTTATGACACCTTTTAATATATCTTTATGTTAACATTAGGTGTCCTGTGGTGATATATTTAAAGGAGCCCCTGCAGTGGATGCCATTGTGTCACCAGCAAACAGTTTTGGTTTCATGGATGGAGGTATTGACATGGTAGGAACATTTGCAGAAACCTTGCTCCATTGTCACAAAAATGTGGGGAAATGTCCTGGGGAAGGGGGAGTAGGCAACAAATTTTTCTGAGGCTCCCCCTCAAGGTCCCTTTTGTATATCCTCTACTTACAAATGGTAACCCCTTTCACCTACCTACAGTCAAACCTCCACTAACAGCCACCTCTCCACAATCAGGCCGCTTTCTTCTGTCTCCAAGGTGACCATTGTGGAGAGGTTTGATTGTAGTTTGGAGCAAAAAATGATCCCTTTTAACTGCTGTAAACAATGCACCTGCTTTTAAATATAAATAAGGAAGTTTTCTTGTCTCTTTCACAACCATAAAATGCATCTGACGGTTGGCCCTTTTTGGTCCTTTTATTATTAGGGGTTATATCTTGCTATTTGCTATAGAAAGCTAAAACATGTCTTCACATCAATTATTGAATTCCAAAAATTCTTTATTCAGTTTTGTTATTCCCAACTATATTTGGGCATTGAAACTGTTTCCTGTCATCTGCAGTTGCTGGCTGTTGATGACAAGGATAGACATGGGTTGTCAAACTTGAAAAAAGTGGGTCACATTTTTCAAATTTTAATGCAAAAGTTAGTGCAGCTAGTGCTCCCTGATAGCATGTTTTTGATATCTTAACCCTATAGATGCATTTTGTGCATATGTAAAGGCACTAAAGGCGGGGGGGGGGGGCGTATTCAACAAATGTTTATACTGGGAGGCTCCACTCCGAGGTCCAACCCCTTACCCTAGCCTTTTATATACCATTTTTCACGAAAAAGGTACTGTCCCCTTCCGTATACCTTGTATTGACAATGGTACCCCTTTCACATACCATGTTTAGAACTTTGCATCCTTTTTAACTGCTGTAAATGCACTGTCTTTTAAATAGGAATCATTCACAAAAATGAACCAAATAAAGCCATAAAATTCATCTGTTTGCCCTTTTGGACCCTTTCACAGACCCAAATGACAGATTTGCCTACCCTTTTATATAATTCAACAAGTGAAATACATACCTTTTCATATACCTGAAGCCTAAAACAGATACCCCTTTCAGGCGGAGCCTACCCGTATAGGCCATCATAGGGAGTACCCCCGGTAAGGACTTCAAAACAGCAATATATCTTCATGACAAGGTCCATTAATGCTGGCTTAAACATGTCCTTTTTCTAACCTTGTCTTCATTATGTATTGATTAATTTTCTAATAATACTGTAGGTTTACATCAATCATTTTGGTTGGCAAATGCAGCACAGACTACAAGCAGTGATAAGAGTGGACTATGATGGTGAAATACCTGTGGGTCAAGCAGCAATCATAGAGACACTCCCTCCTGATGACAGTGATGAAAATTTCAAAGATCCACAATTTAATGAAGGGAAACTGATAAAATACCTTATCAGCGCTCCAACCATGAGAGTTCCAATGGATGTAATTCATAGCGTGAATGCTTACTTAGCATTCAGGGCTGTCATAAGAGCTGGTTAGTATGAACTCAAGATGTGATTCAGTACTTATAGTTACTGTTCTAAATAGTTTTTGGGCCTTTACAGAGGAAACAATATTATTTGACTCTATAGTCTTAACAAATTATTTTTTATTGAGCTTAGTGATAGTTATTGTATAAGGCTTGAAGCCTTATACAATAACAGTTTGGATGGTGCACCTGTGGTTAATCAAACTGTGAGTGACAGCAAGACTATCACAGTCCAGATCGGTAGAATGGTTTCAAACCAGTTCATGTTTTCTAGGGTTATACTGCCATAATCCAAGAAAAACAAAAATCCAACACCAGTTGAAATCATTTAACCTAAAATCTCATACCCAGATCTCTCTCGACCAAGTGGACAGAGTGAGATATGGGTATTAGTTCCAAAATGGTCTTATTTTTTTCTGTTCCCACTATGTTTCAGTTAAAGATCACAACAGAACAGTGGAAAATCCTGAGGATCAGATCAACACTGTGCTTTGCCCTGGCCTAGGTACTGCAGTTGGTAGAATGCCTACAAGGCGAGCTGCATTCCAAATGAGACAGGCCTTTGAAATTTGTGCCTTGGGTAAAGAAGGTCCACTTACAAATCCAGATTGTCTCAGTGCTGTATACAATCATCATGAAGCCATGTTATGTTATTGATAACATAATATTGGTCAACATGTCAACTCAAATATCAACAAACATCAGTCTGCAATTAGACTTCAACTGCTGATGGCAACCACGGTGTTTTTTTTGGAAAAAACCAAATAAATATCATACAGCAATTAACATGATTGATTAAGAGGTATCGCCAAGTATCAGTCTTTAGAAGCCGTTGTAAACTATGGAAATAGGTTATTCCAGGTACTGGACAATGAATAGAAACTGAGAGCCACAGGGTCCCTACTTTGCTGGTCTCTGTTTAAGTAGTATTCTCGTTGAGATTTTCCATTCTGCCAAGATTTGTCAAGATGCCGAGTGCTAGTCTATATCAGGGCCATCTTTAATATCAGGATATTGGTACCCAACACTGGCATTAAATTTTGTTCTCAGACCAAACTTTTCATCTGACTGAATTTCCGACAACCGAAATACTATATTCCCTCCATTGGGCGGCATATTATGGATGTATTCTCTAGATAAGCTGTATTAGTGACTGAAATGTTCGCCTCAGGCATTTTCTTAGAAGTCGGTAGGTCAAAAGTGGCATTCGTTCAAGCGTAGCATTTATCACAGAGATATTTTGTTTTCCATTTTCAAAACTTTAGTCTCAGTAGATAAATTAATTAGGTGCACAGAATTTCACTTCTGTATCATTTCGTCAACTCTCTAAACAGTCCTCTGGCACGGAGTTTTTGCGGTTCCGTGATGAGAAAAACAGAGCCGGAGAGCAAATGGGAAATAAAGTGCTAAAAATCGGCCACGAATTTGTCCAAACTATTCTTTAAAATATGCATGAAATTTGCCAATATCTCTTAAACTATAGAAGACAATGAGTTGGGACTTCACTATTGTGTTTCTCTTAAATCATTCTTCTTAATTCTTTATTGTTTGGATTAGTACTACGCATGAATAAAAGTCCATTTTGTGTCGTCGTCAGTTGTGGCGTCAGAAACTGATGAAATTGGAGAATTCAAATTGGACAAGCTCTTCAATTTTATGTGCGCTAAATTTCTGCAAACTATCACAGTTTTAGATTAAATATACTTAGCTTATTGAGAGTGTTGATTTTTTGATTGGCCACTAGAGAGTCAGGTGACTAGTAACCATAATAGCGTTTTTAAAATCCAAAATATTCCTGGAATCAATCATTTTTGCTCAAATGGCCTTTTGCACTAGTTGGTCACGTGATAAACTTTCTGTAAACACGAAAATAGTTTGCTTTTCGAAAATTTTGTTACCAGGAACTGAAAGGGCCTATTAAAATTAGGAAACCTGTAAATTTTCAGCTGTATATCTCAAAAGAAGCGATTGCAAAGGCCGCCGATAATTAGGAGGATTTGCATGAGAAAAACAACTCTTGCCACCTAGTCACGCTTGAGTGGTTTTCCATACAACTCCTTGTAAATTTTAAAATGTTTAAACTCTCGTTAAATCTTTTCCTTACTCATTTAAGGACTCAAACTGCCTGTCGTGAATAAAAGGAGATTTGAGCCAAGTAATGCTTAAGGAAATATTTCACGATAGTTTGAAAATTTCGAAAATTACAAGGATTTGTATGGAAAACCATTCAAGCGTGACTGGGTGGCAAGAGTTGCTTTTTATCCTTCTAAATTTCGGCGGTCGTCGCAATTGCTACTTTTGAGATATAAGACTGAAGATTTACAGGTTACTTAATTTTAATGTGCTCTTTCAGCTCGTGCTAACAAAATGTTTCAAAAGCGAACTGTTTTCGTGTTTACAGAAAGTTGATCACGTGATCAACTAATGCAAAAGGCCTTATTAATTTCTGTGAAATGCCTTTAAAGGAATCAAAGTTATAGCCCCAAGAAATAAAAAAAATCCTTGTACCTATGACGCCCCCACAGAATCTTTTGGCTGTCTTTAATTTTCCACTCGGATCATGGTAGATCAAATGAACTGATGAATCCACTCTGGACAAGGATTCATCGGTTCATTTGGTCTACCACGATCCAAGTGATTCGGATCGCTGATCCTGATCCGGATCATCCCAAAGGAATGCACCCGAAAAGTTGAAAACACGATCCATAAACCGACAGCAGTATAAAGTATAAACCACAGGAAATAGCAACTACGAGGACATGAATCGCCTTCAATAATGTAAGACTCGGTGCGGCAAAAATACGATTTGCTCAGTCAAAGTTCAGTTCATGTCCAAACACAGCGACGAGAAAGAAAAAAGGGAAAACCTGTTGTTGAAACTAATTCCAAGGTCACGCTTTACATGATCACGAGCTTATAAGTCGTGTTTGGCCTGTCAACGCTTTCAAAAAGTTTAACTTTTTCCAAACCCAGCTGGAAGTAATCCAAGAACATCTTTCCTCCTACTGCACTTTTCAAAAACACACGAACTCTGAAGTTTAAAGGCCGACTTCACCATTGCTTTTTTTCGTTACACCAAACGGATTGAAATCCGCCAATCACAAACAATGACCTTTTGAACCCGTTGAAGTAATCTTCTTTTTCCCACGAGGTCCGCTTAAATGATTGACGGCAGCGAAAAACGCAAACGTCAGTTGGCTTTTGAACTTCAGAATTCGCGTGTTTTTGAAAAGCGCAGTGAGCAATAAATTTAAACATTTCTTTTGTTTTTCCTTTATGTCTGTAACATTTGGAAGTAAACGAAGAACTTTCTTTAACAGCATAGTCAAAAAGACGTGACTGCGTCACGGCCATTTTGTTCCAAGCAAACATGCCAGAATCTCGCCAGAGCATCAATTAACCAATTGGAGCGCGATGTTCATGTGTGTGATTGTAAAACTACAAGTAAGGGACACAATATACACTGTATACAGTTTGTTTGTTTGGTGAACGTTTGTTATGCATATTGACCTGAAATGTACTGGCATGTTTTTACATCCTGGTGACTTATATTATTGTTTTTTTGGTTGTTGCGATTGTGTATTTTAGTACACTTTCAAATGTATTTAGGGGGTCATTCCCTCATTTCAATTTGTTGTAGTTGTTTTGTTGAATTTATCACTTCAGCTACGAAAAATCTATCCACTAAGGGAAAATTGATTACAGTAGTCCTATCTTATAACCACGTAGCTGGACCTTAGTAAATAAAGCAACAGTCGCTTTATTTTTTCTCCTCCCCTCGTCTCGCGCTTCGCGCAAAATGTCACGTTCCCCTCGCTTGGCTCATAAAGCGCCTGTTATGTAGGCTAGAAAAAAAACAGAGGGAGGGAGTGAACGGGGGGGAGTAGAAATTCTGTCTACAGCCACCTCTACACAAATCCCTAACCACAAAACGAACAAAAAAAAAACGCCACAAGCAAACAACTCAGTAAACAAGCTATTAGACAGGGGAAGTTGCGAGAAATTACAAAATGTCTCCTAACCCGGTTTTCATAACTCAGTGGTAGGTATATTAATATATCTGTATTTTATTCCTTTACTTATTTTATTTATTTATTTATTTATTTATTTGTTTTTATTTTTACAGTTGGTGTGATATCTTAACGATTTTACCGACCCAATACAGGTAAATAAAAATGGAAATGGAAATGAAAGCCATTTTGCTCGTAACTTGCGTGAGTTTGGCGTCGCTCGCTCCGAGGAACGGGAGGTGAATCAGCGAATTGCTGGTTTTCAGTGTCACGCCATTCAAAATTGATCAAAATAAAAATTAAAACCGTTCAATAGATAAAGTCCAGAATCTGGGAAATGAAAGGAGGTACATATACAAAGACCCTCGTCAAGATTCAGGTCAGAGGAATATTTCGTATATGAGATATCCGAAGAAAAGCTTTACCCAAACTTATAGAGATTTGTATGGAGACGCCATGCTGGTGCTCACCTGGATGAGCTCCAACGTGGCGGACGGAAACCAACAGAAACATCTGTTACCGCGTTTTGCTATGTGAATTTATTCTCCGAGAAACTCGTAAACATTAAAGCAATACTTTTTCTAATACATGAACTGTTTAGATAGCAGAATTTCCTGAAATAAGTCATTTTTTTGACCTACATAACGGATGTTACTAAAACGGGGAACGGGGAGCGGGGAACGGGGAACGGGGAACGGAAGTCTGGGAACGAGTTGTCAGCGGAAACCTCCATAAAAATCCAAAATGGCCGGTAAGGATCAAGAACCCGGTAAGATCGATGATAGATAAGATGATAGAGAAGCGTCGAAACAACACTTAAGGTCGCTATTTTACTAATGAACTATATGCTCATGAGGTGCTTGAAATAATACGGAGGTAATAATTTCATGACATTTCTCACCTTTTTGCGTTTTACTAAACAACAAAATATGCTCCAACAGCAGTTGAAAGAAGCTACAGTCGGGACAAAGACTCTCAAAGCACAGCCATATTTGGAACTCAAGCGAATCTATACTGGGTCTAACTCACAAAGCAATGAATTACTTTTGCTTGACGCTTTTCGTAGGGTTTTGGCTTAAATACATGGTGAAAGATAACGTAGATCGAAGCAGCCAGGTGTATTTCCTCGACAGTAATAGTGTAGCAGTGGAGCTCCTTCCTAGCTGTAGCGTTTTTTCAAGCCCAAATTAAAACATGTTGGCGATGAGATAAAACTGTAAGTCTAATAATATTATATTTGCAAACCTATGATGAGAAGTAAGTGCAATTGTACTATTTGAAAAGATAAGATGGATCAGGTTATTTAATACATCAATAAAAGGCAACTTTAAACATATTAACGGGCAATGTGCCAGGAACATCAATCATACCTTGGTCTTAAAGATGTCAGTTGTTTCAAAGCAAATGGCTATGCTGTGGTTTTATTTTATTATAACCTAGGTTTAAATTTTGCTTCCCTTTGTTTGGGGTACGGTAATATGAATTTTATGATTACGAGTTCAAAACAAAGAGAATAAAATTCAAACTTAGGATAAAAGTGAACCACAACTGAGCTGCAATAATAAGTGTTGCAAGTATACGTGGGGGAAGTACTTTAAAGTCTTTGGTTGGAAGGTACTTTCTAAAGGCTAGCTGTTAAAATATGCATGGTAAGTATACTTCCTCTGTTTAGCCCTCTGGATGCTTTTTTTTTTTCTAGGGGGGGAGCTCTGCTTCTCTTTAATGAACATTACTTTTACTGTGGAGAAAAATATTTCAAGCTCAGTGTAAAACTGAATATCAGTGACTTAAACCAGTTAATATTGTCAAGCTGCTTTATTGGCTTGACTCAGTAATATTGCAGTGCACCTACCATCAAGCATCACATCATCAATGTTGCAGAGGTTGGCAGCTTATTAGAAGGTGGTTGATAAGTCTTCAAGCAAGCTGTCTGTAGTTTTGGAAATAAAGAGTCTAAGGTCTCACACAAGTGATGGGAGGCAAAAGATTGGATTGCCGATACGTTTTTCAGTAAACACGCACAACTGTATGTGTATAGTGGCTACATTACGCTTACTCAATGCATGTAAAATAACACAATAGATCTTGCTACCCATTTTCCCTGATTTTATTTCCCCTCCAGGGGACATAATTTCTTTTAACATATCGGGGTTTTTAATTCATTTAATGAAGCACAGTATCGAAGAAATTAAAGAGAAGAATCAGACTAGAGTAACAGTAACCCAGAGGGGGGGGGGTACTCACCAAAGAGGCTCTGCCCCAGGGACCAACCCTTTACCCTTTGTATGTACCATTTTAGACAGAAAACGTACCCCTTTTGTTTACCCTCTAGTGACAAATGGTACCCCTTTCACATACCTAATTTTGAATGCTGCATCCCTTTTTAACTGCTGTAAATACACCATCTTTACAATATGAATAAATAGCTAAAACAGGTTTTCTTGTCTCTCACATCCATAAAATGCATCTGTGACTGATCTCATTTTGGTCCCTTTCATATACTTCAACTATAAAAACCCCTTCCCTTTCATGTACCTGAAGCCTGAAAAAGGCTTCAGGCTCTGTTTAGGCCATTATAGTACCCCCTCCTCCTGCACCGAGAACAGTACTTGATACAGCGATATTGTATGGTATGAATTGCACCAAACGTTTCGTGCCCATGAAGGGTACTTTGATTATTTTACAACATTTTTCTTCAAAAGGGAGGGGTTTGGGATCTCATTCTTAGGGGGGCGGGGGGTTAATTGAGGATCTGCAGTGAGTG